TTATAATATTATTTAAATATATGATGCGTGGCCCAAAAATGTGATTTTTAGTCTGTTTTGCTTGCTAGTTTATGCGTTCTTCAGTTTCTCTATGTTCATAAGAAATAGAGGGTCGGATTATTAATTTGGTTAAAGAATTAATGTGGCTTTTTACTGATGTTATTAATGAAATTCCAAAATTCAACATATATTTTGGGTTGTACTATTTGCGAGAGCTTGGTGATTTTCCAATCCAGCAAGGAAGAATTTTTATTTTATTTTTTTGCTTTCATTTTTCATATATCTGTCAATCAATTTTTATTTTTATGGTTATTGTCATTTGCATTTTTCTATTTGGAAGTTGGGATATTGTTTGTATTTTCATTTGAGATATTGTTTGCTAAATTGGTTTAGTATTGTGTTTTTGTTTTTATTGACTTTTCTTCATAATTTTTTTTTTCAACTTGACGGTTGGAGTTTGGACTTATAAAAAATAATTTATTTTCGTAGTTATTAACTGAACCGAATCGAGAGACGAACCGACCCGACTTACGTGGTTATGGTGAGATTATGGTATAGCCAAAAATTTGGTGGTACGGTTATGGTTTTGGCCTAACCGAACCGTAGCCATCCCTATTTGTTAGTCATGATCTATTCACACCACATTTGTTCAATTGTCCAGCCTTCAGTGATAAGCCGCACAAGGGAACAAAAATAAGAGATTATGGTTTCTCTTTCTTGTACTTATTCAAAGATGTTTAAGTGGGTTAGACCCACCATTAAACATAAGTTAGTTAAATATTTAATTAATCTAATTATTTAAACTTGGTCTATGAATTAATTAACTGAATTCCATTAATAAACAATTCAAATAATTAATTCTACAAATGTCCAACACTTATCAATGATTTAATTTATAATATCATTCTTCTAGTTCTCGTTTTTATGTGAAACTCATTAGGTCCCCGATTATGATATCGAGCTACATGAATTATTATTTTGATAAAATCAAAATAAGATAAATTAAATTTCCTTTTAATTTATCATTAATTTACCTAGATTAATTATTTCACATTCATCACTCCACAATAGGTCAGACCCATTTGGTCTGGTTGCTGAGTTTTGTTATTTTTTAGTTTTCCTGATCGCCTTTGATTCATTTTCAAAGCACAAGTACCAAAAATTTTCCACCCTATAAATTGACCGTGTTTAGGTCATAAAAAGAGATGAAAGGGAGAGAAAAATCAAAGTCAAGAAAGAAGGATTTATAGTTCTTAACTTGGGAGAAGAAGATTGTTGGTGCAAGAATGTTAACTTTTTTCTCATTTATATCCTTCAACCCAATGCGATACTTTAATTTTTTCTTGGTACAAGATTATCAAATTAATAATTATCACTTTTTCCTTCAAAATCAATTTTCCAATGTCAAATTTAGTAGGTGCTTTTTCCATGTTGGTACTTGAACTATCCTTATCGATGACGATTTTACTAGATTTTCATTTTCTTTTAAGAAAATTGAATTACATCTTCACAATACCCAAATTCAATGGTTCTAGTTCTTTACTTTCACTCAAGAATTTGCAAGCAGAAATGCAAATCAGTAGGAGGTGAATAGCCACTCCTTTTTGTTCCAAAATCAGTGAAATTTCCTCTTTTCCACATGAATTGGTAAATACTACAATCAATGAAAATTTTACACAACTAATTGCAAATAAGATAATTGTAGGGATAATTGAGCATCATCTTACTTCGTTTCATTTTTTAAATAAAAACATTACAGCAATTACCGAAGACATTTAGCATATTAAGTGATTAAAAAATAAAACACTATTAAGTACTCAATTAAGACTAACAAAATGCATTCATGTTAGTAATGCATTTAACTTTTCGATAAAGGAGGATTGCTAAAAGGTCACGATTATATATAAATGGACATTAAGGTTAGGGTAATGGCAAATATTGCCAATTTCCAAATGCTATATGAGAAAAAAGTAATGCTATTTATAGTGAAAACTACGGTAGAATTCCCACGTGACATGCATGTATTGCTTTGTTATTTGATGTATTAAATAACAAAAAAATTCACTCTATCAATGGGCGGTCCAACCTCCCAGCTCTACAGCCCCCATTTTCCTCTCTTGGGCTTTCGATTTCGCCTAATCTGCTAGCATTTGTGATTGGACGGAGGGAGGGGGCTCAGGCTGCCCAAGAACATTAAATTTTTTCAAACGGAATTTTTTTTAGGGAAAGTTCCATGGGTAAGAGATTAAGTATCACATATTTCAAAACTAATGGATAATGTTTAGAACATAAAAAATCAGATATTAATTATCATCTGATTTTTGAAATAATTAATTAAATATATATTTTATTAATTAAATATATTAAGGTCCTAACTATATACTACGTGGAATAAATGTGTCGCTTTGTTAGAATTTTACATTTAAGAAATTCTTCAAACTCAGATAATTTTGTTAATAAACAATCACCATCTTTGCACACCTTTGTGAGTTACGATCTTTTCACACCACATTTATTTAATTATCCAGCCTCAAATGGTAAGCCGCGTATGAGAACAAAAATACGAATTATGGTTTCTCTTTCTTGTACTTATTGATAGATTTTTAAGTGGATTTGACCCACCATTAAACATAAGCTAGTCAAATATTTAATTAATATAATTAATTAAATTTGGTCTATGAGTTAAATAATCTGTTGAATTAATTGAAGTCCATTAATAAACAATCCAAATAATCAATTCTACGAATGTCCAACACTTATCAATGATTTAATTTATACTATCATTCTTCTAGTTCTCCCTTTTGTGTGGAACTCATTAGTTTCCCGATGACAATATCGAATGATATGAATTCTTATTTTGATACAATCAAAATAAGATAAATTAAATTCCCTTTCAATTTATCATTGGTTTACCTTAATTAATTAATTCACTTTCATCACTCCACAATATGTTATGGCATTACATGTGACAAAAATTATAACGTATAGCAAAATCAAATTTGTTCGTTTACCATGAAATTATAATCTTTTCGTCAATATAATTCGATCAATTGTGAGATATTAAATTTTGTGAATCTCTATTATATTATCTTTTATTTCACTCTTAAGCCAATGATAATCAAAACTCTTTTCAACTTACATACTTACCTTAGCCAATTATTTCGATATCAACTTAACCAAATGGAACATAAATATAATCTCTTACTATCTAAGAGTATCAAATTTTCTATTGATTATTCACAACCATCATATAATTATTAACATACCAGAACAATGTCATTTCTGCGACTCTTGGTAAAGTTACATCCAACACTACCAAAATATGACATCTTCATATAAGGAGCTATAATGACATCAAGTTGAATGACGCATTTCATTATCGAACGTTAGAGTTTAACCACCGACTCTCAGATAGCTATTGTTATACACCGCTCATTTATAGTTAAAGTCAAGTAATTCAGCTAGTCATAGTCAAATAAGGACTTAAGTTGAATAAATAATTTCCATGGGACTTAAATTGCAATTACAAATACTTGAGGGTAAAAATGATATAATAAAGGAATTTAAGGATTTAGCTTCTATTATTGGAATTTTAATGACTAAATGTTATGTCATATGAAGATTGGGGGACTTGACTTGCAATTATTCAATAGTTAGCCATCAAACTTTAGCCATATCAATCCATTTTCTCATTTTGGTGGACAAAATGAAAGGGAAAACCGAGGCAAAGAAGAATCGAGAAAATAGAGGAAGGAAGAGAAGGAAAAAAAGATAAAAAGAATAGGGAAGAACAAGAATCGGATGCCGGAATTTTCAAGCTTGGGTTCTTCATCCCTCCAATTCCTTCTTATTTTCAAGAGGAAAGTAAAAAAGTTACGTTAATTGAATTTTTAGGGTTTATGGAAAAATCTCGAGGTTTAGCTAGAATTAAAGGTTATTGACATGTATTTGGGGTATTAAACAAGAATATATTAAAGAGATGTGTATTGGGAAATTGGCGTTGAATAAAATATATCTTTGGTAATAAATTTGTGAAATAGAGACTTATTCTTTAATTTTCTTGTGTTTATATGATATTAAACACATGATTATGATTTATCAGAGTTGGACAAGGATTTGAGGCTTAACTTTCCCAATTTCGGCAGATTTCTACAAGGTGCTGTTTTAAAAATCTCCCCAGAAAGTGCTGTTTTTGTCAATGGGTTTGGTGCCAGATTTCAATATACTAATATTGGGCTAGGTGTTGAGATAACTTATATAAAGTAATTCTAAGATAACTCATTTCGACACAAATCCAGCTCCTCGAGTTAAATCAAAGATAAGGAAAATTCTTATTAATGAAGTTAGCGTTCCTTCCAATACAATGATACTCGGACTCATTATTATTTGTCCTTGCATATTTTTTTAGATTTACTGGTAACGAGCAATTATTTTCTTACGGTTTTCTTAACAAATCTAAACCCAACTACTTCCTTTGAGAGAGAGAGATATACACATGCTTCCAGGAAAAAAACAGGGTTATGGAAAGCATGATCACTTAGCATTTATCAAACTTTTTTTTTTCATTTCCTTGTAAAACAAATAAAGATAAAGTTCAATTAAAATAGAAAAGAAATAGTGAAATTCAAATCTGAAAATAGAAATAATTGAAGAAAAACACACAAACACAGAAAGAAACTTATATATGTCATGGTCCTCGAGGATATATTTAGAGATTTGCTCTAAAGAAAGTTTGCATACAGAGAAGTCATTGAGACAAAACATTTAAAGAAGTCATTACCCCATTGCTTTGAAGAAAGTTTGCATACAGAGTCCAAAAACGACACAAATACTTTTCGTAACAAGAAAACAAACTGAATACTAACAAAATGAGACTCAAAAGTATCACATTCCCATTTATTAATACAAGTACAGATAATTGAAAATCATTTCATACTTTTAAGATTGAATATGCATACACATGGCCAAATTGGCTTCCAACCATGCTGTTATATTTGGTTTCATTGCTTCGTTACTTCCGAATTATCAAATCTAGAAAGAAAAATGACAAAATTTATTAGATTGATTGCAAATATATATTTTAGTTATAAAAGTTAGTATAGCATATGATGATCTTCATACAGTATGAATTAAAGCAGATACCTCGATTCGGAAAATGGGAATATTGTCCAGAACACACGGCCTTAAAAATGGATTATATAAACCTCAATGAAATGAAACCATGCTTTTCTCCAGTGAGGATTTATGGACAGAACTGTAGCGATGCAAAGCACTACAGATAAATAAGATATGATGAAGCTTATGTAGAAGAACTCCATGTCCATGAAACCGAGCTCCTCACTTTCATCATCAGCAGATGGCAAGACAGGTGTTGATCTGGTGCTAGCACAGTCGACAGGTAATGGACGACCACAAAGATGAGGATTTCCCTGATAGCTACTTTCATCGAAAGTTCCAAACTGACGTTTCTCTGGTATCATACCTGTTAAATTGTTATGCGCCACAATGAAGACTGCCAAAAAGTTTAACTCCATCAAACCAGTGGGGATCCTCCCACCTAAGTTGTTATAGGAGAGATCTAAGCTCTCGATATGTCGCAGGTTTGAGAATGTTTCTGGAATTGTTCCAATAAGATAGTTGTGGGACAAGTTGAGTGCACGGATCTCACTTAAGTTTCCAAGGCCATCCGGAATTTCACCATGTAAATTATTTGAAGAGAGATCAATTCCTGACATGTAATCGAGGATGCTACCTTTGTAAAGATGAAAATTATTCTTCGTCATGAATGTCACTGTAATTGACACATCATTTAATCTGAAATATCCAGTTTTGTAGAAAGGCACATGATAGGCCCTTTCTAACTGGACCTTATCCATGTAAGACGTGAATGTTTGAATTTGAGAATCGAATACTCGAAAAAAATCAGACTTCTTCAGGTTTTCCTCTAGCGTTATGTTACCAAAGCAGTATGGGATTTGACCCGAAAGAAAATTGAAAGAAAGGTCTATCATCGTTAGTTTGTTCATCTCACAAAATTGGTGAGGGATAGTGCCTTCAAAATGGTTACCTCTGAGAAGAATAATGCTCAGGCTTGATAGATTGCCAATCCATTGAGGGATACTTCCAATGAACTTATTCCATCTAAGATCCAATGACACCAAAGAAGAGCTATTATAAAATGCATGCGTGAGCTCACCCTCCAATTGGTTATTGTTCAGATAGACATTACTCATCCGTGATGGATTGAAGCAAGATGGGACCGAACCACATAACTTGTTCTCAGATAAATCTAAGACCCTAAGATAATCGAGATTGCAAATTTCCTCCGGGATTGGACCCTCAAGCTGGTTGTTTGACACAAAAATTTGATTCAATCTTGTCATATTACCCACTGATGTAGGAATTCTGCCCGACAAATGGTTGTTACTAACGTCAAACACTACAAGAGGGATGGTAGACAAGCTCTTTGGAATGGTGCCTGAGAACTCATTGCTGTCCAGATATAAATACTTCAAGTCCAGTAGGTTGATAGATCCTGGAAATATTTGTCCTTGCAATTCATTATCCGATAATTTGAGAAAAAACAGAGAGAAGCATCCCATTACTAATTCCTGTGGTATTGTACCTGACAAGTTATTGTTGGACAAGTCCATGTAATCTATAGATTTTAAGTCACCGAAACTAGAAGGTACACAACCGTCAAACATATTTGTTGACATGTTTAATGCGTCCAAGTTCGGAAAAACTGAAGTTAGATTAGTTGGAATATGTCCATGGAACTCGTTATTAGATACATCAAAAGTCTCCATGTTGGGATTGGTGCTTGTTGGCAATTTGAGAGGTCCTGTAAAAGCATTATCCCTCAAATATAGTCCACTAAGTCTTGTGTTGTTCTCCAACAACCAAGTTGGAAAATTCCCTCCTATGCTGTTATTTGGGAGATGAAGAATTCCCAAATTAGATTGATAGTAAAGGAAGTTGGGTAGTGTTGGATGACCTCTTGAATTCGACATACTAAAACCCTCTAGTTGAAAATTGGGAACCAAAATTCCCAACTCGTTGTCATTTATTATTTCATTGTTTTCCAAAAATAAAAACTTAAAGTTTGAATGATTAAAGAATGCCTTGAATGAAATTGGAACATGAAAGTTGTTACTTGAAAGAGAGAGATATTCGAGCGATGTGAGTTTCGAAAGTGGAGAGGAAGCAATGTTTCCGGTGAAAGTATTGTGTGAGAGTTCAACCAATCTAAGAGATGTCATGTTTGCAACACATGAAGGAAGTATTCCTTCGTACTCATTCCTACTCCGATCTAACTCTTGGAGGTTTTTGAGTTCACACAACCCTGCAAATCAAATGAATACAATTACTACTTCAAAACCCACCAATGAAATAGGGAATATCAAGGCTTTGCTTAAAAGTGAATTTTTGAAAGTAAGGAATAGCAAGGCATTGCTCTCCAAACTTACTTTCAAGTAAGGAAGTTTTTTTTTAAAATTTTAAAGTGAATTTTTTCTGTTTATTGGTGAAAGACGGCAGTAAGTTACTTATTTTGAATGTAACTATTAACTTACTTATTTCCACTCTCAGCAACAAAAAGAAAAAGAAAAAGCTATCGATTGTAAAATATAATTACTTTTAAGCAACTATGTAAGATTAGCCGAACCTCTTTAAATTATATTAATTATATCCTAATTGACGAAGTTAAACGCTTCTTTTGATATAAAGAGATGTTCTGGTTCATTTTTATTTTTCACGAATTTTTTTCTATGCATGATAGTGAGATAATCAATATCTATTGTTTTCTGAAAAATCTTGTAGTAATTTTTTACAATCGTGAGATGACTTTGCATTCATTAACCAAAAGTTCAATTGAGATGCAAGGAAAGTTGTAAAATTGTGAAAATAGAAATAATTGAAGAAACAATTTGTTAATCAGCATGCCAAGACACGAAAATCATTGTTGGTAGCCATTGATGTTTACCTTGAACGGGAAGGGTTCCATTTAGTCCACAGTTGGACAAAGATAAAATCTTGAGGGAAGTTAGTGCTCCAATACTTTGTAGAAAGTTCCCATCCACGGTAGAATTCTCCAAGAATAATCCCTCCAGCCGTTTTAAATGTCTCAACTCTATTACACGTAAGCAATGGAATGTGCATGAGAATTGGAGTATCATACTGTAATTAGTAGGAATTTTTGGGACTAGGAATTATAGCTCTTTTGGCTTACCATAACATCCAATGCTTCCGTTTACATAATTGTACCGAAAATGGAAGTGCTTGAGGTATGAGAATGCTCTCAAAGATTGCACCATGTTGCTAATGTTGGAGACACTTATTTCATTTAATTTTAGAACTTGGAGACGATGCATACTTTCTATGCCTGAAACATAGAACTCTCTTGGATAATATTCAAGTATATGCTTATAACATTCATTATTCTGAAAATATAGACCAGTACCTGTTGGAGTCGTGAAGTTGTCGACCTCATTGTCACTTAGATCAAGCTCCTCCAAATTACTCAAAGCATGTAAATCTAGGTGGAGGTAGAGAAATAAACATGTACAAGCAAAATGTGAAAATAATGATTGAGAACTCAGTTTTGTTTGACACAAAAAAGAAAATAAGGAGTTCTAAACTGCAGAACTAACCTTTCATTTGGATAGTTCCTCTTAGTTCATTGACAGAGAGATCTAGAGACTTGAGTGATGATAGCCCATGAAGTGAGGAGAAAATGCTATTATTGAAGTTATTTGATTTTAAATTAAGGACCTTCAAATTTTTTAGACCTGTTTGTATAACCAAATTCGCAGTAAGTTACAATATAATATCTAATAAACAACAAACTACTATTTAGTGAAAGGGAGGGGCCCGAGAGCAAAATAAGATGAATGCTTTTGTTCATACTTAATAAGGCACAAGTGAAGTAATGAAAGAAAAGGAAATTTAAAATGAATGAGGATGAGGAATGAAATGAGATGATATACCGTAAATGGTACCCAAGCTTCTAAATTTATTGCAACTTAGGTCGAGCTCCCTCAAATTGATAAAATCATTTAGATCTGTCGAAAAATACAAGTAAATATATTAAAAGGTCCTATGACCTAAAACAATACATCGCGCTTGCGGAAAGGAAACTCACTTAGCAACGATAGAGTGTTGTCATCGCCAAACCCATAATTATGACTAAAATCAAGAACTTCCAGCTTGGTTAATCCAAAAAGTCTTTCACGACCTACACAATGATTTTTCATAAAAAAATAATAATATATTTCGTCAAAGCTATTCAACATTGAAATGATGCCCGGAGACAAAATAAATAAACAAGAAAGGTGTATTCCATAATGAAACACTTAATAATATTATGGCTTATGTTTCGTCACGCTATTAAACATTGAAACACAATCATAATGGACGGGAATCATAAAAATAATATTGTGGCTTCTGTGGTAAGGTGCAGGCCCTTAATCTTTTCCATTTGAATTTCTGCATTTTTAACAAGAAAAATGAAAGATTATCCTCGAGTGTGAGAAATTGACAAGAAAAGTAAAATCTTGATTATCCTGGCAAGAGGAAATTGCACATTCTTTGACATGTAACAAAATAAAAGATTAGATTTGATTGAGTAATATAAAAGTAAAACGTCTACGGGTCAAGACCAGGAGGATGGGTGGTGGGTGCGAACCAAAATGACAGTGGAGCTTGAGAGTGGCAACAGACGAGAAGCGGCGTTGGTGGTGGTTAATGTTAGGAATATTGGGCCTAACTCCACCTAATAAAACCGGCTTATTAGGGGAGGATTGCCCTCACCTTATTAAGTGGATCATTTATATTTTCCCAAGCAATGTGGGATTCTAATACGCCCCCTCACGCACAGCGTGGACCATGCCAAACAACTGTGAACAAATCGATATTGGGTGGCACCCAACATTGCATAATTGGGCCTAGCTCTGATACCATGTTAGGAATATTGGGCCTAACTCCACCTAATAAAACCGGCTTATTAGGGGAGGATTGCCCTCACCTTATTAAGTGGATCATTTATATTTTCCCAAGCAATGTGGGATTCTAATACGCCCCCTCACGCACAGCGTGGACCATGCCAAACAACTGTGAACAAATCGATATTGGGTGGCACCCAACATTGCATAATTGGGCCTAGCTCTGATACCATGTTAGGAATATTGGGCCTAACTCCACCTAATAAAACCGGCTTATTAGGGGAGGATTGCCCTCACCTTATTAAGTGGATCATTTATATTTTCCCAAGCAATGTGGGATTCTAATAGTTAATGGCAGAGACATTATTCTATTAGAAGAGAAGAAAGTTAATAGAAGACGACAATTTGGGATTTCGAAAAAACGGAATCAATGAGAATAAATCCACATCTTTCTCTTCTTAAAGGTCTTGAATTCCTGCATTTCGACGAGCTTGTTTTTGTGTGGTGTACAGAAACTAACAAAAGCTAGTGGAAAAGATTACGGTAAGTAGATTTATCTAAAATGAAACCAAGATTTTCTTTTTTACAAACAACTTAAATTAATGATAAAATCTCAAGTTAAGCTTCTGGCTTTTATATTGTTTTTTCGATGGACTCTGTTTTTGCATTCAAAGAATCAGTGAAAGTTGGAACTGTGTTATCTTGTCTTCACTCCAAAAATTCTTGCACTCATATGTTTTTTCTCAAAAATGTTTTATTGTTTCTGTATTTTAAAATTATTTACTCCCTTTGCTTTTTCTCGTAATACAGTAATAAGGTTAAATTGGTTGTTTGATCTGTACTTTTAATAAAGGTTTAAAGAAATTGTTTATCTTATACCGCAACAAGAAAAGTTTTAATTATAATAGGTTGATTTATTTTAAAAAGGGTTGATTCTTTGATAATTACATGATCTACGAAATAATCTCCAAAATATGAAGTATATTGAACTTACCATTGCTGTAATTTTCTCTTTGTGAGTAGCTGTATCCCAAATACTTGAGAGAAGAAAGCCGACTAAGAGATGACAAAATTTTGCGATCAAATGAATTGCCACCCACATCAAGGGCCTCCAAATTTCTCAACTTTGACAATTTATCAAAACCTGCAATAAAGTTTAACGTATCTATATTTAGCACTCTAACAAAATAGGAATAATAAAATTGAAGCTACCTAATTAAGGGGAGATGACATCATACCTTCATTCTCAATCCATCCAACTAACTGATTCCGATGCAAAGAGAGATTTCTGAGCTCTTGAAAGGGAAGAAATAGAGAGGCATTAAAATACCAATCTCCTAATTTCCAATCCCTAGCAAAATCAAGATTAAGTTTGATTGCTCGTTTAGTTGTGTTGCTGCATTCAACCCCTTGCCATTGACAACAATCGGTCCCAATCTTATCAACCACCCATGAAGGCAGGGATTTTCCGTCTGGAAAGTTCATATTTGCTTTGAGGTGCAAAAGTGCAACCCTTTCTTCGTCCCAACACCCTAAACAATACCATCCATTTAATAATGCATGAACCATCATCAATAACATTACCCATAACTTTATTCCCATCTTTCTTAATTATCAAGACGCTAATTCTGACTTATATGAATTATTAGCAAGTCTGCAAAATCTCTTATATATAGTGCTTGGTGGATTTTCTACTTTGGGAGCATCCCTTTTTAAAGGAGAAACTTGATGTACAGTTGATTGACTCGAACTACTACTATTCATTTTTATGACTTTTACAGTGTATCACAATATTGTCCCTATGTTATTGGCCAAACTCCAGGAAATTTCCCATAAATTCTAGATAACAAATAAGACGTATAGATTTTTTCTTCTTTTTCTTTTTTTTTCTTTCCTTTTTTTTTGGGTAAGAAATTATGATTCATGATATTCTATAATCAGGTCTTGACGAATTAATGGCGTAATGAATTATATCATACATTTTTTGTCAATAATGTCACAAGCAAAGGGACCACCGGAGGAAAATGGTGCAAACCAAAATGAGGAGACTTTGACTTGGGATTAAATGTTTGATTCGAGGGAGACTGACAAAAGCAAGTCAGTTTCTACCTAGTTGTAAAAACATTGAATTAATAAAATTTTAGTCCACTAGTTTTTACCCCATGAGTTCATTAATCAGCCCCAAATGTAGTCTCGATATTAAAAAAGCAAAAGTAAACTAGCTCCCCTCACCAAATGCCATTAGCAAAATATTGAAAATACTACCCCTAAAACATTTTTCACATAAAGTTTTTTTTGATATCATATGTACTTGCTCAATGTTGAGAGGTTAATTGAGAAGATAACAAATGTCGTTTGGAAGGTTAAAACACAAATAGAAAACATACCAACAAGAAGAACAATTTCTTTTTAAGTACCCATTCCAAACTACTCACGTAGCTACCACTACCAATTTGGGATGAGCATTTACAACAATTTTGCGTAATGAAGATTAAGTTTGATTACTCGTTTAGTTGTGTCGGTGCATTCAACCCTTTGCCATTGACAACAATCAGTTTCAATCTCATTAACCACCCACGAAGGCAGCGATTTTCCATTGGGAAAGTCCATATTTGCTTTGAGGTGCAAAAGAGCAACCCTCTCTTCCTCCCTACACCCTAAACAATACCATCCATTTAGTAATGAAAGCACCATCATCACTAACATTACCAATAACTTTATTCCCATCTTTCTTAATTATCAACACACTAATTCTAGTTTATCTTAATTATTAGAAACGCTGCAAAATCTCTTATATATGGTGCTTGGTGGATTTTCCTCTGTGGGAGCGTCCCTTTTTAAAGGAGAAACTTGATGCACAGTTGATTGACTGGAACTACTACTATTCATTTTTATGTCTTTTTCTGTGTATAAAAATATTGTCCCTACTTTATTGTCTGAACTCCGGGAAATTTCCTATAAAAATCCAGATAACAAATAAGAGGTGTAGATTTTTCTTCGTTTTCTTTTTTTTTTTCTTGGTAAGAAATTAAGATTCATGATATTCTACGACTAATTAATGGCGAAATGAATTCTATCATATATTTCCTGTCAGTAATGTCACAAGCAAAGGGACCACAAGTGGAAAATGGTGCAAACTAAAATGAGGAGACTTTGACTCTTCCACCAAGAGAAGACTTTCATTTGTCCATTTTAAGAGTAGTAAACGTTTGTTTCTACTTTCTATCCCAGCCTTTTTGTATAACAACATGAGATGCAAAACTTAAGACTTATATCTATTTCGTAATATATGGTTTTGAAGATTTGTAATGTAGAGTAACAATGATTGTTACAACCACAATACGAAAAACAAACTCTCAAAGTATACAATATCTACTCAAATCTTCTTGAACTTCACCACCGATATGTTCTATAATGTTGAGATTAGATTTTAGTCATAGCAAATCAAAGCATGATCATCGTCCAAGGAAATGGAAATGGATAACCAAAAACAAATTGCTGAAGTAGTCAACAATTCTTGCTAGAGAACAAGTCTCATCCCTTAGTAACTCTTTCTTCCATCTCGTTTGCCAAATCCAAATGAAACCAAGTGAAGAGACTTGCAATTAAAAAATCAAGACATTTGAATTCGAAATTCAAACATTATACCACGATAAAGAGTGAAAGAGACAAGTCTAGCATAGAAAAATTAACCACAAAACTAAATTCGACTATTTTATTAATATATGGTCCACAATTCTCCTAAACTAGCACAATCTCACCAAGTACTCTAGTCCAATTAATATGTGACAGTGGTTAAGTAATCCACCACTTGAAAAATAGGAAGGTTTCTTTGTCAAAATGTGGTTAAAAGCCGGCCCACATAGGTCAGCTTTGCTTATTTTGGCTTGTGGGCTGTATAAGAAAAGACTGTACTGCCCCTCACATGTTTCTCTAGATACCATTCAAGCTTAATTTTTTATCAATGACATGTATTGCATTATCATTTTGTCCAAAATACCCTTGGTTTAATAGAAAACCATTGACCTAAGATGTATGAAAGGTCAAGTCAAATGAATGAGTCCCAATCTTTTACTGTTAAATTGGCTAGTATATTTCAGCTTTATTTCATTATTTCGTAGGATTATATAAGAATATGGTGGTTATGTCACCACGTCGATCTGTTGGAGCATGACGGGACTATTGCAACATGACATATTTGAACCGATGAAAAAAGTTTGGAGCATAAAAAAATTAAGAGGTCATTTTTAGAGTGGGATCCATATTTGAATTAACACAAAGTCATTTATGAATAGATGTAAATATTGGCCAATTTGCCCCCAGGGCATATCTCC